AAGCTAACTCGAAGGTTCGAGTTACGGATGGGTTTTCTTTTTCTCAGTGGTGGAGACACGGTCTTTTGTTCAATATTTATTAACAGGCACAACAGGCACGTGTGTTTGTGCATTACACACTTTATGAATGCATGCCTGAACTCCACACACTTGTTAAATTTGCTAACGACAGGCTCTAAAACAAACTAACCTAAACATGCAGACTTCAAAACGCTCAGGTCATATATCCTTATATCAGGTCTATGATACAAACTCATATTAAAAGGTAAGAAATACTGTTACTATGATGTTTTCATCCTTTTGACCATTTCAAGTGTTGGATGATTAAACCAAGCAGGACTCTCAGGCTTGGATTAGACTCACTGTACGACACTGTTCTCAACTAAATCGATTTTTGGAACGACATTGAATGAAGTCTCAAACACATGAACTAAACCTTTTGAAAATTAACACAGAAAAAAAAATGTTTAAAAAAAAAAATCTCTGCATTGACAGTTACTATGGTAACTTATGCTGGACACATGACCAATGAAATCTCTCAGCACCGAGCCTGAAACAGAAAGTCTGGAGTCGTAAACAAGGTTGTGTTGCAGGTAGCACGCTCATCTGGTCACCTTAACCTCCAGTGAAAAACCACCAAAACCTCAAATCAAAATCTTTTATGTGCAATTTGAAAGTCATAGACAATGTTGCATTAAAACCCTGCAGCTCTGCTGAAGCTGCGAGCCCTCCTGCTGCCTCAGTCGTTAGAGATAAGAACATAAAAAGTCTATCACAGCCATCTATAGTGAATCTTTTTTGTTTCCTGACTCCTCCATTAATTAATAAAATTTGCTCAAGTGAACATGATCTATAAGCAAAAGGCTTCCTCTATTCTCCAAGCTAGTGTCGGGTCATCATTTGGCTCTGTTTCTCCTGGGTTAATGCATAAAACGAACAAAACATCACCATCTGTGGCAGATCACTGTCATTTTGCAGGTTAAAGTGCACCGTATCTATATTATTCTTGATTATCGCAAGTACAGATCAGGATTTTAAATATGTGATATTTTCAATTGCAAATCGGATCTGTGAAAATGAAAATCCATCAGTAGATGTGGCATTTACATTGATGCACGTGCCAGCTGCGATGTAGGTGTTCAGCTGAGGAGCTGAGAGGTGTTAGACTGCATAACTGCCTGGATGGGTCGAAATTATTATCCATTTATTTAAACCAAGGAGGGAAAATGCTGCAGTGCAAGGTAAATTCATCCGACGAACCAAGGTGTGAGCTAAGTGAACTGTAAACTTTGCGGATCCTGGTCTTTACATTTTACCAAACAGTCAAACAAACTAAAAAGGAGAGAAACCTGAGGGTGTCTGGATTGTTCCCCTCATTTCCTGTTTTATTTTCTAACAGCTGTTTGTCTTCACCTTTAGTTATTTCTATTTCCGCCTCTTCTCCAACAGCGAATTACACACCTACACACCTACAGGTAAAACCCCCAGTTTCCCTTTCTTTCTTGCCAGGTCACCTTTGTACTTCTGGCAGTTAACACCTCTGGGCACATCTCCGGTTTTCCAGGTAACGTTTTTCCTCTTTGTGGTTTTATTTGAGTGTTTCTCCGTTTAAATTTTTGCCTTTTGTGTTTACATTGTGCTGAACCCTGGACTGACATGAAGTTGGGGATTTTTTGAACCTAACTTTGCCATCTTGCAGTTGGATCTTCGTCTCTGTACTGAATCCTGGCAAGAAGATAATACTGCATTACATTAAGAATGAAAATCCTCCCTTATCTCGCTTTATAAGTCACCGTTTATGTCAGGTAGCGACCAACGCTGCTTTTCTCAAGTCAGCGAGCTAAAAAAACAAATATTTGTTTGCACAACAACAAGTACAGCCCCGCGTCACTAAACTGGCCCCTCCAAAGCTGGTCGCAGCTCATCATTCATGGTTTCACAACCAAAACAGCACTACTTCAAACAGAAAGGACATAGTCACATTATGAAATATGTTTATGGGTGATAATATATTGTCTTATGCTTGGAGAAGGGATAGCCAGATAAAGAGATTAAAAAAACAGAAGTACCTGTACCACACTTCTTCTGTTTGCGGTATCAACATTTTGTCTGTGTGAGCAATAAAGCAGAAAAGAAAATTACCTTTCAAGGTCAACTGAGACTTCTCAGTGGTCTGGGCACTGCCAGGTCTGCTCACGCTGGCAGCTGCCATGACATCACAGCTCTGTAACACAATCACAAACACACAAAATATTACAATATACTGTCACTGCCTTCCAATCAGGTGTGTGTTGGGTGATACAGCTCTTCTATGCAAAAAATATTATGGTGGAGGTGTAACAGGGTCATAAATCACATTGTTATAATTACACAAAATGTGTTCTAAACCCCCAAACTGTTCCTTTTATACCTGACTTTTAGGACCTCCAAGCCTGTAGTTATGTTCATTATCAGTTAGAGCCCCTCCTCATTCTTTTCTTCTTCTTCTTTGGTGCAACCCTATAAATACAGTGTACCCCTTTTGCCTCTCCCCTTTTCTACAATGCCCCTGTGGGAGAGGTGGGTGTCATTTCTTTCCAACACCTTAAAACACACATATAATTCATATTTAGCCACCCTGATGTTTCTGATTGCGATTTTAGTTCAATTATTGTCATTATTAAGCCTGTTTTTGTTAGATGTTATAAGTGTGTAGTATGTATGTATCATAAATGTGTTTTAGGCGCCATAAATGCTAGCATGAATATATACTCCTTGCTAGCTTGGAAGTTGTGGTGGGTTGAGCTAACCCTCTTCCCCACTGTTTGTATTTGGTTGTAGGAGCTGGAGTGGGCAAATTATTTACTTGGAGGTCTTTCTTTCTTTTACCTTTGTTATCAGGTATGTCGGATTTCATGTTGTTGTTTTTGTTTTATCTTATGTCAAATATGTTACGTGTAAATCCATACTTTATGTTTAATGTAAAAATAAATGCCAGCCCCTTTCTACAATTCCCCTGTGGGAGAGGAGCTGGAGTGGGCAAATTATTTACTTGAAGGTCTTTCTTTCTTTTACCTTTTTTATCAGACACAACGCAGAATCACACCGGTTACAGAGGCAGAATTTTACTGCATTCGATGGTAAATCTGGAGCAAGAGTTGGATGACATAGCTTGATTTATGTGCAGTGTCTTGAACGACAATCTTGAAAGCAACGCAAGTTGTCTCATATTATTTTAACGTCACCAGCAGAACATAACCCCTCCTTCAGACAGAAAAGCATAAAACTCCCACCACACTGCACCTCCAGTCCTTAAACACTCACTCCAGGGGAGTGATAAGTGACGTTGCCTAAGCACATTTCGCAGCATTAGAGAGAAAGCTAGCTGGGCTAACCGAATTCAACGGGGCAAAACATCATGACATGCAATCACGCATCACTTTTAACTGCACAGTTACAAAACTCCCACAAGCAGAAGGGAATTCTGAGACTTTTAAATGACTGGAGAGGTCGTATCACTACATTCACCAGCAGCAGAGAGAGACGCGGGATGAACAGGACAAAGAAGCAGCAGAATACAGGTGGCGCTCCCCCACCCACAGCAACAGGTACCAGGTGGTGATAGTAACGGGTGTTTTTCCTCAAGACATGACAATTTATGCCAAAACATCTGGAAGAAAACATCCAAATGGAGTTTGTTTCAAAGCAGCTGTGCAAACATTAAGGCCAATAAGCCCGACTGATGTTTACTTTAAAAACTGTGGCGTTAGATTCAAGTCAAAAGCAGAACTCAATGATTTCCCACAGCCAAATATCCACCTTCTCTTAACACAGCAAAAAGCTTATTATTGCTTTAGTTATTTTATTATTATTATTATTATTTTATTTTTATGGTCACATTAAAACACTTAAAAACAGACGTCACACATACTTAACTCAGCAGTCAGCTCAGATATGTTAATGACCGCCCAAGCATACACACCGACTTGTTTCAGTATTTTCTAATATAACGCTTCCCCCACTAACTGGCTCAGACTTCACTGCCACTCAGCTGTTCCCACAAAAAGGATCTCTCGCTGCAGGTCTGCTGCTCTCTCCTGAACTCCACCTGGCAAAGGTAGATCTGCTGAAGGGCCACTTTAACCACAAGCTACACCCTACAGCTCACCAAGCCTACAGAGCAAACAGGGCCTGCCGTCTCCAGCTCCAGTCCAAGATAGTGGAGGTGAATCTCAATTGAGGCAGCCCATTTTATCACTTTGTTATTTATTTCTGACAAGGTACTGAAAAAATTAGAATTAGGGAAACTGCTTGTTGTAAGCACATGTACACACACACAGATTCCCCTCCATGCCACAAACAGAAATCAGTAGGACACTATATCCTGGCAGAAGCCGCGAGACACTTTAAAACTATACAAAAGGCCCACTCATGCAAAAATAATATAGAGTGAGACATCTAGACTCTTGCTGGTTAACGAGTGTGCATACGCTCTCATCACACTGCCAGAAACACTAAATCAGAGCGCATTCACTGGGAATTCAGCTGTATTTAAACAGTATATATGAACTCAGACGTCAGGAGGGAAGATCCACAGACCCAGGCTACAGGAAGGAGTCCTCTCATATCATCATCATGAATGAACAGCTTATACAGGCACATGTTTGCACAGTTCACGGATGCCGTAATAATGTTCACTTACCCTGGTGTGATTACAAACCGTGTTCCACTATTGCAACTAAACCGGATTGTTTTCATGTACATGCAGATTGCAGGGGCTTTAACAACACTCAGGAAATTAAAGGGTGAATCACTATATTATTTATAGGCGAGATTACCTACCCCAAGTTGGAGCTTGTCTGAACTATTTTGTACACTCTCTGGCAGTGTGATTTGTAAGACACTAACTACTTATCACAACATCACCTTGAGCAAAGTCAGAGCACCCTGCTGAATTTAAAGCACCGCAAATACAATGCAGATTAAGGCTGGACTCTGCTCTGAAGGTGTGCTTATACTGATCTGTAC